TGCGGGGCCTCCAGCACACACACCCCCCCACGCGGAGACCCCCACCGGCGGCCTGGACCCTTCCCGCGGGGCCCTTTCTGTGTCGTCGCCGAGGGACACCCGCTCCCCTCGCTGCCCGGTCGACAGGCTTGCTGAGAGCGTGGTGGTGGTGGGGGAGTCCCCGCAGGCGGCCCACGAGCACCGGCCGTTGCGCTCCTTGGCTTTCCCTTGTCTCCGCCCCGAGCCGCCTCCTTGCGGGAAGGAAAGCGTGTGAGGTGGACGGCCCTCGCCTGTCCAGACCGGGTGGGAGGCAGGCCTGGTCCAGAAAGAAGCAGGGCGGGCCTGGCCCTCCTCCTCCACCTGCACGGGATGCCCTGCCTTGGTCTGACCCAGCCCCAACCCCTTTTGCCCACCGACCCGCCCCTGCCTGGGGCATGGAGCTCTTGCACGGATCACGACCCTGGTGACCCACATGGGAGGCCCAGCAACTCCCACTTCTGGCCTGTTTGTGGTACCAGCTGGTATCAGCTCTCTCCCCCCCCCGTCCCCCCCGTGGTGTCATTAATTACTCCCACAGCAGGCAGACACCGGGGGTACCCTCCCCCTATTACCCTGCTGGATGCGGAACAGCAGGTACCCAGGTGACCTGTTCAGGAGACCAGTCTTCCACACCTGGGTGTCTTGTGTGGCCTTCCTAACTAAATGGCCAGAGCTCGCAGTTGAGGTTTTCCAGAGGTAAGGGTAGGTGATGATTTTCAGCCACTAAGACACCATTTTAAAAAAGTGGCCTACCCACCAGTTTCTTCAGGACCACTTGGCTCTTTTTAAAATTGTTTTTGAATCATGTGTGTTAAGGCATCCACAAAACACCTCACACTTTTCAGGCTGTCTCTGCAATGCAGTCAAGGTTTGATATCGTGCAAAAGGCTGGAGTGGAGGAATCCCAAACCAGAATTAAGACTGCCGGAAGATATATGAACAACCTCGGATATGCAGATGGCAGAAAGTGAGGAGGAATTAAAGAACCTCTTAATGAGGGTGCAAGAGGAGAGCACCAAAAACGGTCTGAAGCTCAACATCAAAAAAACTGAGATCATGGCCACTGGTCCCATCACCTCCTGGCAAATAGAAGGGGAAGATATGGAGGCAGTGACAGAGCCTCGTGGCGCAGTGATTAAACTGCTCTACTGCAGCCAAAACTGTGCTCACGACTTGGGGTTCAATCCCAGGTAGCCGGCTCAAGGTTGACTCAGCCTTCTATCCTTCCAAGGTCGGTAAAATGAGTACAGTACCCAGCTCATTTGGGGGGGGGGGGCAATGTGTAGCTTGCATAATTAACTTGTAAACCGCCCAGAGAGTGCTTGAAGCACTATGGGGTGGTATATAAGCACCACGCTTAGCTTTCTTGGGCTCCATGATCACTGCAGATGGTGACAGCGGCCACAAAATTACACCTGCTTCTTGGGAAGAAAGCAATGACAAACC